TATGTATAAAGCGTTGGCCAAATTGAATTGAGTCATTCTACTTGGAATATGAAGATTTTTGCTTAATTGCTTTGGTTCGTGATGCAACTATGTTATGTTTGAAGGTAGACCAACGCAAACAACAGCACAGCTCCAGGGCTATTATGCACATTAGGTAGTTGGGGCATTAATTGATAATTATTTGGGATTATTCCTACAAGTACATAATTTGGAACGTGCCTTTATATTGTATTGATTAATAGTTGTTTGAGATTTTTCAAATGAGTGATTTGACATGTTAAACTCTCTTATTTTTGAAAATGGAGTCTTCGAAGTGGAATATGAAGATTTTGGATTAAGCTTGGTTTCGTAACGCCCTTATGGGTGTTTATTCTCTAAAATGCAGCTGTCTTTCAAAGTGCCCGTTGCAAATGGCAAGTCAGGATACAACGATGGTACCTGTACACGTTTATATCATTAGTAGGTAGCAGATTGTGTCCATTCTACTATATCATTTAGCTAAATACTTAGTTGTTCTTTTCAACTAAAAATTATGCTTAAATGCTATGATTGGCCTCAGAAATGTATGTCTTTGCATTAACTGTTAATGATTGGACAATAGGAATGCCATACATTAGTGTCGTGGGAGGTTTGTTTGATGTCTCAGGGTGTTAGATTTTTAAGAAGGTTGTTTGTTGTGGCAGAGAGTCCCTAAAGCTAGCGAGGTATTCCTATGTGGGCTTTTTCTTTGTTTGACTTTTTCTCGCCTTTTTTCTTATCTCTTTTTCTATTTTTGGTTTTTGTGTGCTACCTTCAGTTGCTACGTCTTCATTTGTGAGCCATCTATACTTTTCTTATTTAGTGCCTAAAAATCATATATACTCGATTGCATAGTAGTTACTAATAGATACATTTATAACAATAGAGAGATTTTAAGTTTTATCAGTTGTTAGTTTTAATATTTACTTACATTGGTTGTTTATGTAGTTTTCTTAGTAATATTTCTCATTATACAACTAATTACTATGGCTACGTAGTTGTATAAGTGGGGGTTGGACATGATAGTTCTTAGAAGCATCAATACTTGAAGGTTATTATAATGACCAAATTCTAAAGTTATGGTTTGCCTTCAACTTGCTTGGAGCATTTCAATTATGCATCAATTGTTCTCTCCGTGTAGTTAACTCTCAGACAAATCGAAAATCTTGCTGATATGTGCTTGATTGTAGTTAAATTTAGGGTTCTACTGCATTGTTGCTTTACTCTTTTTTCGTGGTTGAGTCTGCTTCAAAAAATTTAGTTTGATTTTAGAAAATTTTGCTTCTGCAGTCCTGTCTTGCCACCAACGCGTTCAATAGATGGAGACGGGAGAGGCGAAGGCTATTTTTGTGTTGTTGTTGCTGGTTTAGGGATCGGTTTGTGAAGAAGAGGGAGAAGAGAGGGGGAAAGGGAAATGCAGGAGAGGGGGATAACTCTTTTCTCCGACAAAAGTGGAGTGAAGAAAGGAATTATGATCAGTAAGAATATGGTTATCTTACATAACGGTCTCTATTCTGTTTGAATTGAGCTTGAGAGGCAGTGATAAGGACGAGCTGCAACCAATTCATAGTGAGAAGAGAGCTATGAACTGTGATCATGTCTTATTTCAAGTTAGAAGGTAGTTTCAGTATAAGGATTATTTAATTTGACAAGTTGTTTCGTCCATGATTCTTGGTAGTTTCAGTGCCATTCTAGCAAATGTTTAGTCTGTAATTTTTGAGAATTGATGTGCGAGTAATGACTTTCACTTAGCTTCAACTATTATGTGTGTATTTATTGGCATGTGATAGAATTCTCTTTTCCTTTTCATTGAATTCATTTTCATACTCTAATTGTATTATTTGTACATAGGCAAATCATGCTCGAGATGGCAACTCGCTGATATGGCTGGTGCAAGGAATGAAGCCATCATTAGAATTCAGACCGACAACGGGGAGGGATGCCCAGGACTAATTCAATGATGATTGATGATGGTATAATAAAAACTGCAGTCTGCATCAGCACCAATTTCTAGGCCTAAGTAAAGGTATTCAACCCAGAACTCTGCTTAGCGCTAAAAATTGCCCTCACCCAACCTTGATCCTGTTTGACCCACTTCTGAAGAGTCAAGATATATGAATAATCCTCCCCGTTCGTATTTTCTTATTGACTCTTTCTGACCCTGTAGGTTGGGGCGGGGCGGGAATAATTGGATTAGTGGGTCGGTCCTAATCAAGTGGAATCCCAATCCCTTCACTCTCACTTGCTTTCTCTCCCATTCCACAAGTGGGTAACATATTGTAATCCGGCCAACGGGCCGGGTAATAAGCTAGTTTTACATAGGTTGGAAAAAATTGGAGGCCGAAATAACTCGTCCAAATAATCCATCCAAACGACCTTTAAAAAACAAGTGGCTTTCGCATAACGGTTAGCTAGCACATTAAGTTTTTGTAAGTATTTCTATGGTTCTTGACTCTTCGAATTTCATATGTTTCATATTTAGATGGATTATAATTAAGTAATTGATAATTTTTTCTAACTTATAAATGAAGGACAATATTAAAATTGCAACACAAATATTATTTGTTGGAATATTGCATATATCGGATTACAATATTGAATATGCAAAAACGATAAAAATTCTTACCATGAATTGAATATGTTATTGATAAATAACTATCTTTGCATGATTAATTGTCCTATAGCATGTTATTGATAAATAACTATCTTTGCATGGTTAATTGTCCTATAGCATGCTATATAACATTCCATTTTACAAGCACTCTCAATACTTGAGTTATGCATACTTGAAACTAACTGCAAACCCCCTTAAAGAATGAATTTCTTGATGTATAGACGGTATGAAAATCAAGTTGTCTCTAAAAGTCTAGAAATCAACCAATTTATTTATCCGATATGACAACGAAATCGAGCTCCTGGAGATCTTATTGTTTGAAATCTTACATACCGTTTGGTATAAATGAATTCCATAAGTTTTGAGGAATTCATTTGAAAATGAAATATTTTTGTGTTTGGTATTTAAAAGAAAATTCTATGGAATTAGAACTAGTTATAGCAATTCCGAGGATGGAAATACTAGTTACTTCTTTAATTTTGGTAACTACTACTACGCTAAGAAAGCGATTCTCCAATTACTGCAACAATTACATGTGGATGGAAATTAAATCATAGACTATCATGCTCGAGAAAGCGTTGTTCTCATTTTTGCATGTCTATGATCTTGAACCTACACAAAATGAGGAAGAATTTTATGATGTTCCGGACGATTTGCAATATTATTGTAGTGCCTATTGTCTTCAAGTCGAGCTTCATGCCATTTGAATAAATTATCATTGTTGTGTATTGCAAATTTTGAATTTTCAAAATAAATTATAATTTTATAATAATCCTTTTGTGATTAAAGTGATGGAGATGCACACCTCCTTTGACGAGAGTCAAAGATCAAATATGACCACTAATACCCACCTAAACATTCAAAAGGTTAAACAAATTGAAAATGAAGGATGGATATGTTTTAGAGTCGTTCATATTCAAATTCATATGTTTTCTCTAATATTTAGGTCAATGCATACTTCATTCAAATGCAAAGTTGTCAAAATAAAAAATGGGTCTGAGATTTTGATGTATAACCTACTTGAGATAATATGTGATATTATCCAAGAGCTTGCTATCGTTGAATCGAGCTTACCGAGCTTCATGTAATTTGCATTAGTGTATTATAAATTAGGAGTGTAAAAAAATGATTTCAAAGTAATTATTCTTGCAAAAAAAGTGACATAGATGCATCAACTTCTCTAACGAGAGTCAAAGATCAAACCCGACCATCAATCTCCACCAAAATATCGAAAGAGATAAATAAATTTAAAATAAAGATTATAGAGGTGGTAAAACTCTGTTTCGCTAATATTTAATAGTTAATTGTATCTCTAATATTTAGGGAAACATATATCTATGAAAATTTGCCAAAATAAGAAATGATGCTGCAATTTCGATACATAAAACTTTGTTTCATTCTATAACTCTTATTGGTTTTTTCGATCTCTTACAAATTTTCTACGAATATTTCCTTATTCTAATATGATTAATTGAAAGCTATCCAGCAAAAAGTTTACAAATGCTATGGCAAGTATTTTGAGAGAATTTATAACATCAAAGACAACACTCGCTAGGTAACATTATCTTTACTCTTCCATTATTCATTTGAGAAAAGAACATTATACCCACTAAAACATATAGTTTTGGGCTAAATATGGTACCTCATTGTTGCCGGTTTATAAATTCAGGTTCCAATTTCGAGTTATGTGGACAATTGCATATATTTAACTTGTGATTAGTGTTTAGCATATTTGGTGATGGGGATAGTAACAATTTGATAAAAAGGAAGACATCGTAGATGATGTAGATATAAATTTCCATGATAGAGAGAAAGAGTGAATATATTATTCATGGTTTGGATAAAATAAATTCTATTTAGGGAAAATTATGTTTGAGATGATTTTTTGATTTTCCAATACTTTGATAATTTAGATTCTTTTTTATAACAAATAGAACGTATTTTCATCAAATAATTTTATTGTCATTATCATTAAGAAAAATGTATTCGGCCAATAGGTGAGAACTAAACCTAGTAATGGTGTATGGGTTTTTTAGTTAGCTGTAAAGAACACAAGCCTATCTCTTCAGCAGGCCTTTATTATCATTTGATTGTGGGCTTACTCTGTATGTTAGGCCCATAAGAGCAGTAAAGGTGCCTGTCGACCCGCAGAAGCAATTGCCTGCCTCCTCTTTAACTTCATCTTCTTCCTCCAGCCATCTATTCGTCCCCTTTCTCCTCTCTGTAAATAGGAAACCTAAAATCTCGCCTAGAATCGAACTTCATTTTTCCCGCCCAATTCCCCTGCACTTTCTACCGATCACCACACAATCGCTCCGCTCACAAGTCATAACAAACTCTCTCTTCGCAGTTCAAACCAAGAACCGCCATGGATGCTCTGCTGAAGCTCCCTTCCCGACCTTTTTTCCTTCCGCTCCTCCTCCTCTCTCTTTCATCCATCCTGTCTGCTCCGACTACTGCCTCCTCCGCCGTCATCGGCGTCACGTACAGATCCCCTCCCCCCTCGCCACCGTCCTCAACCGGCGGCAACTCTTCGCTCCCGACTCCTCCGCTGCAGCCAGAGGCCATCGCGTACGCCGTATCCGCTCTTGGATTCGGCGCGGTCCGACTCCCGTTCCCGGATCCGGATCTCATCAGAGCCTTGACCTTCACCAACGCCTCCCTCTTCCTCTCAATTCCAAACAGCCTCCTCCCTTCGCTAGCTTCCAATCGCAGTCTCGGCGTCCACTGGATCCGCGTGCACGTCCTGCCTTTCTATCCTCGATCAAGGTTTGCGGTAATCTCCGTCGGCGATGCTGTCTCCCAGTTGGAGCTACTGCTGCCGGCCATCCGCAACGTGCACTTGGCGCTGCAAGATTTAGGGATCAAAGATATCCCAGTCTCAACAACTTTCTCCTTCCTCGACGTCGTTATCAGGCCAGTCCCGCCGTCTCTTGCCGCTTTCCGAGAGCCGATGGGCGAGCAATTGATCCATCCCCTGCTCCGGTTCTTGAAGCGCACCAATTCCAAATTCTTGGTAACTCTTCAGCCTTACACTGCGAATCAGTTGTATTTCCAGATGCCTCGGCACTTGGCTCTGTTCCAGGGAGGAGGAGAACTGAGTTTCGATCACAATTACGGCACGGAATCGGAATATCACAGTTTGTTCGAGATGATGTTGGATGCCGTTTACAATTGCTTGAAGAGGGCAGGGTATGAGAGCATGGCTGTGGTGGTCGCCGGCACAGGCTGGCCAAGCTCCGCCGTAGACGAAGACGGCATCGCCGAGTCGGACGCCAACACGGCATATGCGCAGGTCTATCTGAAGTCTCTGATCGCCTTTTCTGGTTCTGATAAACGAAGGCCTGGCTGTAACTTGGAGGAGGTTTACATCGATGAACTAATGGATGCTCAATCGGAGTCCAAGCAGCGGGGGACTCAACAGTGGGGTGTACTCGACTCAAATTTGAGTAGCAAGTACAGTGTTTTCGGGTCACTGTTCGATAGTGTCAACCCTTATCCACCGTCGGATGAAGAAGTGGGTGAAGGACCGTGGTTTGCTAGGATCTGGAAGCTTATTTGCTTGGTTTTGATATATGTGTTTGTTAGGAAGCAACTCATAGTCTGTGTTCGTCTGGTTGTACCTGAGAGGCCGGGGAGGTGGATTGTATCGCAATTTGGTTGGAATCTTGGATGGCAGTTTGGTTGGGGCCGCCTACAGTTTGATGGGGGTCAGTAGATTTCGATGGTGATCAACCTGATAGGCTTGGGAGGTGGATTGTATGGCAATTTAGTTGGGATCCTCTGCTTGGATGGCAGTGGTCAGTAGATTTAGATGGTGATCAACAAGCAGCTTTTCATCTGTAATTGAGCAGTTCAATGGTTAATTCTTGTTGTTAGTAGATGATGGTGATCGAATCAGATTGTAGATCCCTCCTCTATCTTTCAAGTGAATAAATGGTGATGATGATCAAACTGTTCTTCTAGTGAGAGACTCTTTTTTGTTTCATCAGTAGGGCACATAAAAAGTCGGACTCTTTCTGGTGCAGGTTCTGAAAAAGGGTTCATATAGTAACATTGACTAGAAACACACCATATATCATGAGGTTGATCATCTAAAGCCCTATTGCATGCCTTCAACTGTCCACCATAAGCTCATAGTGCTGCTCATTTTCACTTTTATTTTTGCGGTTATAGATTGGTGGAGCTTGTTGTATTGCACAAGGAAGCAGCATTAGAAGAGTGGGTCGTGAAGAAATTAGGACGAGTATACTCGAGGTCCTTCCTGGTCTTTGCTCAAGCAGTAAGGGCTTCTTCCCCTTCCCAAACAACAATTTTAATTCGTTCTTCTTCCCTGTCCTTTTGGTCGCCATCGATTTGGAGGACAGAGAGATCAACACCACCGGCTGGAGCTCGACGATTGAGAGGACCCGCGTCTTGCGAAACGTCAGCGTCTCGGTGGTGAAAGAACCGTCCCCCCATAAGATACTTGGTAGAGACACGTCTGCTTCCTCGGATTGCAACCTGGGGAAGGCAGATCGGAGCGTAGCAAGGGATCCCGGTGTAGGAGGTGGACTTCTTGGGTCGATGGCTCAGTTTGTTTTTATTTTATTTTAAATTTTTTGTTAAAAAAATTCATAAATAATCTGATGTGTCGTAACTGCCATGTATGTGCAAGTGCAACACAACAAATAGTCAACATTTATTATTTTGTAAACCGTTTTAATTTAACAATAAACATAAATAACACACAACTATCTGGACAGTTTCAAACTATTAAATAGGTTGGAATACAAGTGACAGAGTTTGCTGATAAATTTGTTTGGTATTTATTTGATCATTTTATTATTATGTATGTTAATATTTTCAAATCGGTAAAAATGGATAATGGGCTCCGATACCAGATGTACTGGCCCTCAGGGGAAATGGCTCTGGCCATGGGCCAAATTTCCCTAGCTTTCTCCTCAAAATAACTCGGCCCGTCATACCTGGGCCAACCCAAAAGCCCAAAGCGTATATTCTCTTCTCGACGCCGGTTATAGAACCAGTAGAATACGTAAAAGCTCACCCGCCGTCGCCGGCAATGTCGAACGCCACTGAAGCTCTCCATCGCAGGCTGGCAGAGTAATCGTACTCTCTCTTTTAGCTCCACATTTTTAAGTGCCGACAGTTATACGCGAATTAGGAAATCTGAGATCGCTCTCCAATCTTCTTTTCCGTCAGATTATCGGAGTCGTTACTCGCCCATCTCTCCGCTGCACCCTACGCACCACTTGAAGGTTCATCCATCTCCGTGAAATTCGTCCTCCAGTCTCTCCTCCCCAAATCCGCCGCCGGCGCCGCGGAATCGCAGCTCCGGGAATCAATCAGGAATTTCGTTCTGGCATCGGCCTTGCTCGCCGCGTCCAAATCCTTCGCTCACGAGTTGCTCTCATGGATTCCCCATCAGCTCGCTGATGCTGCTACCGCCGCTTTTCGAGATATATCTGATTTGTATTGCCAGGGCGATGACGAGAGGTTGGTCGCGGAGTTGGCGCCGGAGGTTTTGCTGCTGTTGAAGGACATGATTAAGGAGAGTTCTATTGATAACGGTACCGATGGAGATGAAGTCTCCGCGGCGTCGGCTAGGGCTCCGGTTGGTTTTGCTATTCTTGCTGCTTATCAGCTTAGATGGTTCGTTACTAAGGTTTGTTGCCATTTTCTTGTTTCCCTGGCACTGCGATTTGGAAATGTTTTGAGTCGAGTTCCGCTGCGAAATTACCTGTTTTTGGGGGATGATCAAATTTTGTTTGCTTGTTCCGTTTTGTGATTCCATGTGCATTGACTGCTCTTGATCATTGGTCACCGGAGGTGAAGGCAAGTAGTTGTTTCACTTTCATAGTTTTTGTTGTTCTTTCACTTTTGGTAATCAAATGAGGTGTGACATTTCGGTTCATCGGGATTCAGGGGCAAGGAATGATTTGCTTCATTCGTCTAGGGAAGAATGTGAATGCTGCCGAATTCGGTGTTTACCAGGATGTTGTTCTTGATGCTTGCTGCCATAATATTGCATCTGCTGATGAGATATGGCATCTTGTGGTGGAAATGTCTGTGCTTCTTGTGTCTAGCATCCGGCGAAGTAATCCGAAAAGCCACTGGTAGTCTTTACTCTTGTTCTTACTCTCTTTCCTTAACCATCTCCACCCCTGCAATCAATTAGTAATTACAAATGTTGGCTGAATTTCTTCATTCAACGATTTCATACCATCTACATCTCTTACCCCCTGGTTTTGGTCATCTTTTTTATTTCTCATTCAGGTACAAGAGGACTAGGCGAGATGCTTAGTCACCTGGAACGACAACCAAGAAATAAGGAATGTCGCGTTGCTTGGCTGACATTCGTAGGACCACTCTTCCAAAGCATTGGTCTTGTATATTTATTGGCTCATTTCAGGAGGCTTTTCCCACTTTTCTTCAAGTGAATACATGCTGATGATGATCAAACTGTTCTTCTGGTGGGAGACTCTTATCTGCTACATCAGTAGAGAAATTCAATTATAGTGTTCAAGGCTCATAAAAAGTCAGACTCTTTCTGGTGCAGGTTCTGAAACAGGTTCATACTTCATACAGTCTCGAAGTTAACATGGATCAGAAACACACCATATACCATGAGGTTGATCATCTAAAACCCTATTTAATGTCTTCCACTGTCCTCTATAAGCTCATAGTGCTGAGCATTTGCACTTTTTTCGGTTTTAGATTGGTGGATGAGCTTGTTGTATTGCACAAGGAAGCAGCATTAAGAGTGGGTCGTGACTCGTGAAGAAATTAGGACGAGCATACTCGAGGTCCTGTTCTTGCTGAAGCAGCAAGGGCTTCTTCTTCCCAAACCACAAATTTCATCCATTCTTTCCTGTTAGTTAGCCTGATATCACCTTCTGAAATATGTTAAGCTTACTTGACTTCTCTCTGTGCTATCCTGTACATGAACCGAAGATGCACAAGGGGCAGCAGTTCACGGTAGCCTGGGAAAAGCACAGGGATAACTCAAATGTAGCAGCTGTGTGCTTCTCTTTAACTGAAATCTCCATCGACGAGGAGAGTTCCACCAGCAACACCTTGAAGAATGACAGCTCACTGAACTACCTGCAACTGCTACTACCCGTTAAGTCGCCGGAGAATGGATTTGTTCTTCCTTCACCACAATGATTAAAGAGGGAGTAAATTCAAATGTTAGGCTGCATGTAATGCGATCATTCACCTTCTGTAGATTGAATGTACTACTTAATTACTTCATATAGACTGAACAGTGAAATCCTGAGTAGGTTTTTCCTCGTCAATTTAATCAATATGACAAATGTTCATAACAAACTCTGATTGTATGTAGGGGATGATTGAATTCTACAATCTTTCCTAAAAGAATAAAAAGAAAAAGAGAAAAATGATATTCTTCCTCTACAAAACCGACGCAGGGAGTAAATAGAGAGATAACTCAAAGTCTCTGATTGAGTACTTTGTTTTCTACTACCTCTTTTTTTGTTACTTTCATTTTCCATCTAAGCTAATCACCTGGAGTTGTTGCTGATACAAAGTGGAAAACCCTAACCCTCCCCAGACCCCCTCCAGGCTTCCAAAGAAGAAAAATTGTGTATTCCTTCCAGAGGCCAAAATAGTGATACAATCTTTTCACTGCACCATTGCTCCACTGACCAAACCTGCTCTCTGGAAAGGATTGATGCTGCTGCCGCTTACGTCGTGGTTTCTTGACAAAATAACAGAATACACAGTCGTCTTTCATTTCATCATCACTTGCTTCTTTTCTTTACTTCACTGTAGAGGATGACTCCAAAGACTGTTAGAGAGTAGCCAAGCATCCCCGTAACAGATACTGGGTTCTTGAAGATTAGAATCGAGACAACAACTGCAACGGCACCTTTTGCATTCCCCAAAACCTGCAAATACGGGCGTAAAAAGATTGTTATCTGGGTTTTGTAAAAGCCTTTAGTTCTGACCTAGTCTTAGTTGTTAAGTTAGAACTAGAGAAACAAAATGGTCGAGCCTAGGACAGACTTTGCATCAGATTAAGATCCAGCATCCTAAACTCTACAAGAGCCGAACTTTTTCTAGAATCAGTTATCTTCATAGTTCTTTCTTGGCCAAGCAAGAATACATAGTAATTGCATTTTGTTAATGTAGCTTAGGAGTTCATGGAATGCGGCATACCTGGAGTGTCAGAGCACTTGTATGTTTAGTGACCAAGAAGTTGGTCAAATTCACAAAGAACGCTAATACAGAGTTGGAGAATAGCAGCCACATGAACTTGGGATCATCTCTTGCGAGAGCCAGAGTAATACCAACCACATTCCCTTCCATTGTCAGGGTTGCAGGCAGCAAGAACACAACAGCAATTGGAGCCATATATAGGAGCAGATTCATGGAATTCAGCTTCTCCCTAGAGACATAAATAACAGAACCAGTTTTCAGTATATAATCCTACTTTCAAACTTTCCATTTTCCAATATCCAATATCCAATATCCAAATCATTTCGAAAGTACTTGTGCCACAAGAAAACCTTACCCCTCAGAAGAAAGCAATATACCCTGGAGGACTGACTTAAGAGCTCTTGCTGCTGTAGCAGCAATGCACATTATAAACCCAAAGAGATGGAAGCTTGGTTCACCCTATTGCAATAGGCACAAAAACGACATAGATCAGAACAAACCCAGATGCTAGAAACTCCATCTACATGTAAATAACAGAGAAAAGCAGTCCAGTTGAAAGATTCAATTGGGTAGCCTGCAGAGCTGTTGAGCATTTGTCATCTCCAGAATCAACATTCAAAAAGCAATCATTTAGGAAGCAATGATGAACGCATAGCCATTTCTCAGAAAAAAGGGCTGGTTCAAAAGAAATTCACTGACAGAGTCCAATTTTAACCCCCGCCATTCAGCAATCAAATGATTAGAACACCAAAATCCATTGCAGAAACTCAGCCAGATAAAATCTAACCTCATACTGGAAAATTGAGAGAAATTGGGCCTTACCCCAGTGGCAATGATGACTCCAGTAACCACAGGAACCAAAGTCAGGTAAGTGAGCCAAGTCTCCCTCTTGAACGTCATCACATAAGCAAATACGGCGGTGAAGAACGGGGTAGTGGCGCCGACAGCCTGATTAAACGACACTGGAAGGAAGCGGAGGGAGATGTTCCCAAACACCACCGACACGCAGAAGACCAAGCTCAAAGCTGAGATCTTGAAGAATTGGGTGCGGGATCGAATGGTCTGCAAGGGGACGACCTTCATCCAAACAATGGAGATGTAGCTGAAGAGACTGCAAGCCGTCATGTGGCACATGGTGAGGAAGATTGGGAACTTGAACTCGTAAATGCTGAGCAAGAACTTGTTCATCAGCAGGACCCCGATGTTGGAAGAGTACCAGCAGGCGACCAGGCCGATCGTGAACAGCAGCGTCGTGGCCGGCACCGTAATGTTCCCCTTCACCGACTTCTCCATCTCGCTTCAAGCTTCCACCTATGGAGATCTGAGTGAATCGAGAGGCGTGGGGTTGGGGGATTGGGTTTTTCCCTTCTTCGCCCGGATTAGCCTGCAAAGAAGGGATGTTTTCAGCGGCGTGAAAGTTCCCTAGATTGCTATGATTCCTGACGCGCCATGGATCTGTGTCATAACAATGGAGGAAAAGGGGGTGGAAACAAAAACGAGCAAAAGGAGAGGGGAAATTCGACGGGCGGAGAGGGATAGGTGACGGAGAGAGAGAAGGAGAGAAGCGTAGTGGGAAAGAAGGAGAAATTGGTCAAATGGAAGGGACGTGCGACGGAGAAGGAAGAGGGGGGATTTTTGGGATTTAAGAGGGAGGGAATTCGACGGCGGCGGCGGAGGTAAATGAGGTGGCGGTGGTGCTAAAGCGCGTTGAAGAAGGGGGGAGAATTTTGGTTAACGTGGGGGCGTATTTCCTCCGGTTTCTGTTTCTTTCTTTTTCTGTAGGTTTATAATAAAATAAAAATAGAGAAAATTGGGGGATTTCTTTATTTTAATTAATTAATCAATTGGGGTAATTGGTTGTGTACTGGTTTCTTTAGGGTGCTAAATGCGAATTGGAATATTTTTCTTTTACTCTTTAGGTCCTTTATATTCATTTCGATTGGAATCTAGTTAAATTCAGAGAAATTCTATACAATATATCAACTGAATTTTAACCTATTATACGAATTTTCTTGGATGTCTTCGAAGGATGATGTTATTTTGATTTTGGTCAACTGCGAATTGGTATTTATCAAGATTCAACTTGGCTGTGCTTTCAAGGGCATAAATAAATAATTCTTCGTTGATTATAGATTAAACCCTTATATCTTAAATTTATGAAAAGGAAATTTGGAGATATAGCAAATTAAATGCTAATTAATAATGTGAAAAGTTAGTTATAAGAACCCCAACTTATTTCCGGAATTGGGGAAAAGGAATCACATCGTTGAAGTTGGAGCATTAACAGAAAGGATACCCAATCAAGGTGTTTATTTCTGCATTTGGTGTATGTATGTGTGGGCCTTTCTAATTGTAATGTAGACCTTGTTATTATATATTGTAGATTTGTAGTTGTTAAAATTTCTTGACCCTACATCCCAAATCATAAAGAAAAGATAATAAAGAAATCCTTAAGCCCGTACGATGCCGATCAATCTGAGCCTGAAGGCCCAAATAAAGAGGTGGGCCCAAGTAAGTAGCCCATTTTCAAACGCCCAACAAACATCCACTGCCTTGAATCTTTAATAATTCCAGTACGATTCTACAAGTGGCGTCAATTGCTTGCTGCTGTCATGTTATGAATGAGATGAGAGTGCACCAAGTGGCAAACAAGTCATGAAGAAACAGTCAAGAATCAGTTCTGTAATGAAGCAAGGGTTTGCCCAGAAACGGTATTATGCACTCCACGTTGCATCATAAAATGTAATAAAACAATATAACCATTCTTCAAGAATGGAAACCGTCAAATACATGAATGTTATCGAGAGCAGGAAGGAGCAGCAGCCGGATCATCGCATGCTGACATATGAAAATGAATCAAAGTGCCTATCTTGATTACATTCAAATGGCGGCATTGAACTGAAACAAATATACTTTTCAACACATTCGTCATCACAACTACCTATGGGTGATGACGATTCTGTTTTACAGTTCAATGTACAGATACTCAACCTTCAATGTACACCTGGAACTCTCAAGTAATACGGAACCAAACGACGAGTATAATCCAAACAACGATGATTTCTCAATCACATGGTACATGCCCGTATCGAATGATCATGAGGATCAAGGGAGTTTGCATACGAATGCAGGAAAATGGACAGCAGCTAAGCAGTGCAGACACACCATCAAGGAAAAGGCTCTGCACAAACTTGAACTGAATCCACACGTGTTTATAGCTTTGCAATGAAAGAGTTGTTTCTCCGTTCTCGTACGAAAAAACTCTACATTTACTTCTCAAGCTTCTTATGGATGCACGCTTATGGTGTGATCATACTTCAGGGTCAGCCACAATGAGATGCAAGATAGAACCCAGGGAAACCTACAAACTAATTACATCCTAAGGAATCAGAATCTGGAGCAGAAACCCTTTCAGCTATGAGCCTAGTCATGTCAATCTGCTGATTATCCAGCTCAAGGTCACTATGACAGGAGCACAAGAATAGCTAGAGGATTGTTGTAAATCAGACGAACTAAGACAAGAATTTATAATAATAGCATATAAATAATGAAACACAGAGTTCAAAGGAGGATTTGATTACTCGAGCATTCAAACAAGAACATCTGATTGGGGAATTACTGAAACTGGAATTGATGGAAATGGTGTACAACGTATATCCACCATGCTAAACAGAACAAAACTGTCTCTAACAAAAAGAGAAAGGCACATGAAAAATCAAAGCTAAACTTGGATGGAAGAACCCAAGTACACAGCAGTTTCTTCTGAGACAAGCAAGCTTCTTCAAAACCTGAGGAACAGCAACAACATAAAAAATACTTCAGACAACAGGGTACTATGAAATCAGGTATGCATCCAAGTGCAACTGAAGCAGCGATTTCCAAGGCAAGTTAAAACAACTACAGTATTGACAACTGCGACTCAGTGAGACAGCAACTTCACTAAACACAGCCTCACAGTTGATAGCAGAGTTACTCTTGAAATAACAATTCAGACGACACAGTTACATATCTGAATTCCACATTATACTAAACAACTTAATCCCGACATTGACAATTGAAAGTACCTTAGATATTGCTGGGGTACATGAAGACTCTTACTCTGTCTCCCTGCAAAATTAGCCAAAACTTCGGTAAGCCATAAAAACTAAGCAAACATGGAAACTCGAAACACTGAAAAATGTAGCACTTGATGTACCATGGACTTGGGAGGGAGGTTGGACGTGAACTTTGCTCTAACGACACCACTGTTTCCATGAGACCGTGATACCTTGCCCCAAATGCAGCGATAGTGCGAACCATCCTTCTTCACCTTAGCCTTGTAGATATAAGCCAAGCGCTTTCCCGCATACCATGCTACCTCTTCCTTGGTATTCACTCCCTCAATCTGAATCAGAGAAGTGTTGGGGTACTGGTTTGCCTTGGACCTAATTATCACAAACAAAATCAAAACTCAATCTCTCGACACAAGCAAAATAAACCCTAGAAAGATTTCCACCATTACTGAAACCTACACTAGGTAATCAAATTCATCATACAAGATATCAAAGATCTGTAAGACCATTCTTTAGAAACCCATTTCCTGACATCTAACAGGACAGTAATAGAGAAATAGGAGAATCAATCAAGGGACAAGTCTCATTACCTCTTGTACCCTAGGATAGTTCCTCGGACGTAGAGTCTGCAAAGAAGCAACGGGTTCAAATAAGAAAAAATTAGCTTCGATTCACCACTCTCTCCGTTAACGAACTACGTTAAACTCCGAGCTGGAGAAAACAGTTTACTGTGCGGTCTGCGATCGCAACCGGAATTGGAGATATCTATCGGAAAAGGATCTTGAAGTAACAGAGGGAAGAACGGGAAGCCCAATACCTGACGCGCTCTCCTTCGCGACCTTTCACCATTTTCGCGGGTTGGAGGCGGAGCTTCTCCCTTTTCCCGGTTGTTGCAGAGGTGGCTGAAGTGACGAGCTATGCTGCGGGAGAAGGCTTCCTAAAACCCTAACCAGAGTCTTACTTGATTTAAAGAGAGAACGCGGGTCAGACCTCCGTCCTAACTCCTAACCATTAGGCCCATCAAAAGAAAGCCCAGTTGTTTCAGCCCGACAATGCATAGATTATTATATCCGGAAATATCCATGGGCCTCAATCGAGCACTCATTCTCGGCCCATTTGGAATGCAGATACAACTAGGGGTGGGCAACCATTCGATTCACATCGGACCGAATCGACTCTCACACCGAATCGGATCGAACTATTTATCTTTTGATTCGAATTTGGTTCCTGAATTTGGGACATTTTCGGTTTTGTTTCGGTCCAGACCGTAACCGTAAAATCAAGCTAAGGACCGGACCGATGTGAATTAATTGTAATTAAATTAATTGCCTATTTTTATTAGGCTCTGAGAAGGCAACTCGACTTGGAGTTGAAAACCCTAGTACCCTACATAATACTTATGACTTAACTACCTATAAATATGATTGACTTTCCCTGACTTTGACTCGCCGCTCCCGCTCCTATAGTCCTACCCTCAAATCAGAGCTCTCATCCACGTTGCTTTGATCAAGAGGTTGCTTACTTTACCTACACACTGTGAGAAGATGCGAATAAATGACACCATAGAGGCTTCTGCCAAGTCTGACAACACCACTGCAAATTGGCAAGGTTAAGAACCATTTGTTTTATTGCACTAGTTCTTGGAGCAAGTGTCACTTTGTTAAACTCCTTTCTAATGTCTTATATCATGTGCTTATATGGCAGAAGAGAGGCTTTCTAATGAACAGTGGAAATTCTGGAGATTGGGCGATCCAACGTGCACTCTGGAAATGAAAATGAAATATTAGATAAGCAGTTAGTTAGATTACCTTTGAGATTGAATAAAAAAACTTTTTGTCTTTTAGATAGTTAATTAGTTCTCGTTTAGCTTTTTGCATAATATTTTGGAACATGTGGCTTTTAAGAATTATGGAGTATTTAAATTGGGATAATTTGATTACTTCTTTTCGTGTCGTTACATTTTTTAATTCTTGTGTTCTCCTTTAAGAGTGATTTTATTCGAATGAAAGATTAATCGATCCACTGGGATGGTCCAGACCGAATCAAGCCATATATGGTTTGATCCAAACCGAATCGAAGTAATAATGATTCGACTTTGGTCCTTGATTTAGAAGAAATTTTGGTCCGGTCTGAGGATAGTTTGGTCTGGTCTTGAACCGAATCGACCGATGCCCACCCCTAGATACAACTTATTGCTCTTTGTTTTAATAAACCCGCGTATGTGGATCATGATGTCAGTTTTGAATTTTTCCAATGAAAAAAAAAAACTCTCCTCAATGCTCTCGTCGGGCGGCAAGGAAGTTTCCCCTTCTCCCCGCTAGGGTTCCAATTCAGAGAGGTTTTCCAAGGTGAAAATCCTTTTCCTTTGCCCAGATTTGGGCCGATTGTCTCCCTTTGTGGAGTTGTTACTAGATTACCCGATCTGGGGTTGATGATTATCCTCATCTTTGGGGGGAAATTGATATTGGGCGGTGGCCGCGATGTATATCGGCAAACCGTTACAATACGATTTGTACTGGATGGATTATTAAACTGGTGGAACGCTGGATATCTACGAATCCGATCGAGATCGGAGAGGATGATTATCCGTAACTATACCCGCGTGAGATATCTTGTATCTCAGAGGTGGGCGCTCCGACGATTCTTGGATGAGAGAGGGGCAGAGGATGCTATAAATAATCGGCACTCCTGGGTTGGGATTCCTCACCTCCTTCGATTCCAATCAATCCCAAACTTGTGCGTCATCAGCAATCTACTGCCGTCGTTAATCAACCCTCAAGCTCGAGCTCGCACCTGGTTAGAATCTTTCAACTCCATCTTTAACTATTTACATACCTGTGAAACGATGGGGATTGCTGGAATGCTGGGGCTATTACTAGTTCTGGGTTTTCTGTGTTGCTACTTACTTGTATTATGGATGGCTCAGGCAAGAAACATGGGATCCTCAAGAGATAACGACCAAATCGTGGAATTCGAGGATGATGATGTGGAGGAGAGTATGGCTCGTACAAGGCTCAGCCTAATTGGAAGATTATTCATGGACAACATGCCGACTCCTTTGCTCCAACGCATCGTCAACAATCTGTGGAGATGCAGTGCTCCTGTGGCGGTCCTGGAAGCTGACATGGGGCTATTTCAATTCCTGTTCAAAGACGAAAATGACCGTGATCGTGTGCTGCAGCGGGCACCATGGATCATCAAAGATCATGTCCTCATGCTGATGGAGTGGGCTCCGGTGACAGAGGAGTTGAGGAATATGCCTTTACTGTTAATATCAATCCCTACATGTTTAGGCAGTCTGGGTCCTCTGAATGTTTTGTTTGGCTTCATGGTGTGCTGAATAATGTCTTGAGATTTCATTCCATGTGGTTGAAACAGTGTGCTGTGTTGCACAGATCCTTGATAGAACTTAAACCGGTTACAATTATTATTTTGGATGGTGCGGGTTTCTGGCTTAAACCTTATTCCCAACGTGTTTTATTTGTCTGCTCTCATCCTGTTGTATATTTTGATGGGTTACCTAATGTTCTGATTCTATTTACTTGGCTGGTGGTTCTTCAATTTGATAATAATGTTTTAACCAATCTGGAATGGGTAACTTTAGCAGATCGGAAGTGTGTTAATTGGGGTAATAAGCTGAAATGGCTGGTTTTGTTTTCTTGGCGCTGTCCTTTTCAAGCTATAGATGCCGATACTGGGATGAGGGTGTTTTGGTCTAGTGCAGGGGATGTGGACGGTCTGGAAAGCTTTTGTACCTCACTGCCTAGCCTTGCTAATTTGAAATTCTTGCCTGTTGGTTGTCCCCTGTGCATGCATACTACCCTGTTTTGCCCTCTTGCTAAGTTGAATTACATTACTTCAGGGGTTTTGTGTTGCTGGCTCTTTTATGTCCAGGTGTTAGAGTTGCTTTATCAAAATGATAAGTTGATCCTGTTGAGAAGGGAGGATTGTTGGAACCAAGTAATGCGAGTAATTCTTGGCTTTCTATTAATAAGTGTTTGTTCTTTAATTGTCAGATGGATGGTGGCCTTGGGGCAGACCCAGACTTGTTGGGCATTGAGGCCGTTTTGAAAAGGAAAGTGCTCTCAACCGCTGCAAGAACTCAGCAATTTATGACAGCTGGACTTGGTGGGGAGCAGAGCACGGTAGGTGACCAGAACCAAGGTCAAAATGGACATCCTTCCCAAGGTGATAGTGCTGGACAGCAAACTCGCCGCTACACAGCGGCTGAGAAAGGGAAGGCGAAAGTGGTAGATGATGGTAAGAAGAGGGCTGGGGCAGTCCGCCCAAGAGCAAAGAGGTCTGGAATTTCTATACAGGAGCCGATGTCCCAGCCTCCCCAACCTGCAAAGGCTGCCCCCGCTGTCCGTGACTCGGTTTCTTCGAAAGCTAGAACAGGACGTGCTGGCGAATCACATCCGCTGCGCCCTAAGCCCGGATTCAAGATGGGGATTGGTGAGCTGGAAGAGATGATGTTTTACAGGAAGAGGTCCAACCAAGAGATGATGACAGAACCGGAGCCCCAGTCGCTGCCACCTAAAAAATTATGTTTTGATGATTCTGCTTTGCAGGGTGTGGGGCTGGAAAATGATGATCTCCTTGGTGAGGAAGAGCAAGAGGCGGACCAGTGTGAAGAAGAGCTAGATGGAGATGGAAATGAAGATGCGGTGGAGGAAGCCAGCCGGGAGTGGCCCCAAGAGGATAAATGAAGTTAATGTTTCGGATTAGCCCCCGGTGCCCTGTTGTCTCGCATTTTATTCTTCGCGGATGACTCGTATTTGTTCCTACGAGCTTCACGATCTGAATGTGCACACCTTGTTGGGGTTCTGAAGCAGTATGAGGAGCTCAGTGGTCAAAAAGTCAATCTGTCTAAGTCAGTGGTTTGTTTTAGCAGAAATACAGTAGCAGCGGATAGAGAAGAGATGGGGCGTATGCTTGGAGTAGGAGTCATTGGTGTTACAGATCAATATTTGGGTTTGCCATCCCTGGTGGGGCGCTCTAAGTATGATACCTTTAGGTATATTGAGGAGCGAGTTATTCAACGCCTACAGGGGTGGAAGCAGCGATGTTTATCTTGGGCTGCTAGGGAAGTCCTTATTAAGTCTGTTGCTAATGCTTTGCCTATCTATGTAATGTCGTGCTTCCTTCTACCTCTGTCACTGTGTCGTTTGCTGGATAGACATTTGGCTAGATTTTGGTGGGGAGTGAAACAGGGTGAGCGGCGGATTCATTGGGTTTCTTGGAAATCGTTGTGCTTAAGTAAACATGAAGGAGGTTTGGGTTTTAGGCGTTTTGAGGAGTTTAATCAGGCTTTGCTGGCAAAGGTGGCGTGGCGAATTTGGAAAGAGCCTAATTCTTTGTTAGCTTGGGTGTTTAAGGGTAAGTACTTTCCCAACTCCTCTATTCTGGTGGCCAAGGCTGGATCTTTACCTTCTTGGGGCTGGCGGGGGGTGTTGCATGGACGTGATTTGCTGGTCCAAGGTTTGCGATGGCAAGTTGGCTCGGGTGAGTCGATAGATGTGCTAAAGGACAATTGGGTGCCAACGTTGCATCCATCTCCCCCGACGCCTCGTCCGGGGATCATTAGGGTCGAGGGGTCAGTTGCGTCTTTAATTTGCCCGAATCAAGGGGTTTGGAGGGTGGATTGCCTACGTCAGATCTTTGAGGAGGATACTGTCCGAGCTATTCTGGCTGTTCCGTTGCCTATTTCGCCGGTGCCTGATCGTATGGTTTGGAATGGGGAGCAATCAGGTCGCTATACGGTCAAGTCTGGCTATCATTTAGCAGTGGAGCTACGGAGGTATAAGGAGCTAAGGGTGAAGGCGAAAGTGCAGGTGTGGGATCGTAGTCTATGGAAAAGGGTTTGGGGGGCTCCCATACCTCCCAAGTTGCGGTATTTCATATGGCAGATGGTTCGCGGTGTCTTGCCAACTGGTGAGGCACTGAGTACTCGGGGGGTAGGGGGGCTGGAGCCATGTCCAGTTTGCGGGGAGGAGGGGGAATCTCTTGAACATCTCTTCTTCCGCTGCCGAGTAGCGGTGGAATTGTGGGAAGGGGCGGGGCTTCTGGCCATTCGCGATCGCTTTCCCCTTTGCAATGTTGGGATCTTTTGGCGCAGGTTACTCGAGTGGCGGGAGCTTGATCAGGGGGCCATGATGCATGTTGTAGCCCTTTTCTGGCGCATTTGGAAGGCCCGTAACTGGGTGGTCTTTGAGTTGACTCAGTACATTGTGCCGGTGTTGTTATCTCAATTTCGTTTGCAGGTTGCAGAGTGGGATGGCATTATTACCGGCCAAGGTGCTTGTCGTTACTCAGGGGGCTCAGGTATCAGAGCCCGTCAGGATGTTCCGTTGGGAGAGTTCGTCATGTTTGTGGATGGAGCTACGGCGCCTGGTTCACATGGGGCGGGAGGTTGGGCTCTGCAAGATCCCACGGGCATGGTGGTGGCAGCATCGGCAGCACTGTATGTGGGGATTTGGGAGCCGGCTCTTGTGGAATTACTGGCCTTCCGGGATGCGCTTCGATGGTGCTTGGCGTTTGGTTTACAGTCGATGATTTTTGCGGGTGACGCCCAAGTGATCGTGGGGAAGATCCGGGAGGGTGAGGTAGATGATGTCCATGGAGGGATGCTGTTGGAGGAGATTCGAAGTATGCGTGACTTGTTCCAGGAGTTTCGGGTTATTTTTGTGGGTCGGGAGTCTAATAGGGTTGCCCATTTGGTGGCAAGAAAAGCCCTTTCGTTGTCCCCTTCTTTGGTGGGGTTCAATTTTGTTTCTTGGCTGTTTTCAGCTATGTGACTATTTTGTATCTGTCTGTTTTCTCGGTAATACGAGCGATCTTTTGGCAAAAAAAAAAAAAAATCGCGTATGTGGATTACAATTTACAAGGGATCCGATACAAGCGGCAGTATTTTGGGAAAAGTAAGCACAATAGTAGATTGGGGATTATATAATAAAATATGAGGACAATGTTTTAAGGCTGTTTCACCGTACGGAGGGCTTAACATGATAATAAATAAGGGCTCCGATCTGGATTTTTTGTTCGATTTCTTCGGGAGGTAAGGAATTTGTGAGAAGGAGGGGGCGGCCCCCGGGATCTACGCTATGACGCCCAAATTAGTACGCATATAGATGATAGTGTATGTGAATGTAGAGAGTGAGTTTAGAGAGAGAGAGAGACCTTAGGGTCAAAGTGTGGGAAGGGAAGAGAGGATCCCCCGGCTTGAAGGCATGAGTCTCCTTATATAGGAGTCTTTGGCTTCCTTTTGTGGGCTTGGTCCCGAGAAGAGGTGCGAATCGATGGGTCTGGACCTGTTGATGACGTTGTTGTTTGTCGTATTAGGCGGATTAATACCACACCCAACAAAAGCGAATGGAAGGATTTCAAAATCATAATTCTTTAGTAAATGAAAGCCTCTTTCAGTAAAAACAACCGTTACTTATACAAAATATATAAAGGCAAAACATGGGTTAGAATTGCTCCATTTCAAATTTCGTGGCCTGAGAGTGATTCTAGAATGGCCACTTTTGTCATTGCACCCAAATCATCTTTATATATTAAAAATATAATCATTAGACTTCGAACCATGGTCACTTAATAAACAAAGAAATAGCAATATAACCAACTAGGTTACAATGTAAATTATTGTTATTTCTTTGATTAAACGCTAGAAATATGTTTGGTGATGATGCTTCTATATTTATATTTTATCTTAAGTTATTTATATTTTATAGAGAGATTAGTTCTAAAATTGAAATTCAAGTAAAATTGATTCAAACATTACTATTAAATTGTATGTGCAGTATAGTTTAGAAAAAATACAGAAGCATTTTACTCTTTATAATAATAAATTTAATCTTAATATTTGTGATGTTTGAAAAAATTTATGTATGATTTAGATGTATACTTATTATTTGTGACATCAGTGGTAGTTCGTTCAAATGTAGTATTTCATCAGGTAGTCAAAATCGAATACTGGGTGCATTTAAGATTGTTTTTTATCTTGGTGTTGTGAATAGATAAAAATTAATTATTAGAATGCATATAAGATATAAATATACCTAGACACATGGTCAAGCTAGCACGACACAGTTAGCGCATAACATGAGTACAATATATATGGATCGGCCCTGTACAAGCATGAATGTTTCATGGGTCGTAACAGACTTAAACATCAAGGGCTCGCGCACAAGTGTCAGTACCACCCAACTATATTGGTGAACTCATGTTTTATGGACAAATGCCTCATTTGATAAAAATAAAATAAAATATTCTAAAAATAACATAGAAAATTTGAATTAATGAGTATTTTTTCACATCAACGTGTCACAACTCATATTCTAAAAGGTTTTAAAATACATTCATAGTTTATTTTGAGACTCAAACATTTTTCAAAGTATACAACTAAACATTCATTTATAAAATAATTCTTGATTAAATTCATAGATGAAAAAGTCTTTTTTACATCTTGCAGTCAATATAGTCAAATCACGCTTTCAAACTTAAAAACTGACGGTTTTACGTTTTTAGGTCACCAAAACTCTTCTACGCATAATCACCATTTTTATAACTAATGTAGTAAAAACTGCGCTTTGAAGCTTAAAAGCTTACTGTTTTACGCTTCTAAATCACCAAAACGCTTCTACGTAGAAACACGATTTGACTACATTGCTTGCAGTAATAACAGACAACATCAACAATAACTTTAGAAGCAAGTAGAGTAAAGAAGATTGGGATTTTGTATCTCCTTGCAAATGTGTGTGTTTGGGGAGGAGGATTTTTTTGGTCTAATTTTTTTAAAAATGGGTTGAAACTCACATATCATTGTTCAAATATTGAATTGGGATATTGAACATATAGAAGCGATATATAATTCTTAAATCAGTATTAATTTTTAGCCTGATTGTCCAATAGCCTTAGACCTCTTGCTAATTTGACATGATTGGATCCAATAACAATAAGATGAGATTTGGTTTGATATGCCGGTTCGAAACCATTTTTATGTGTACTGAATTTGTACGAAAAATACATGTAAATAAGTGAAGATGAACCTAATTATACATTTTGATTCTTTAGATAACTAAAATTGTTTAAGCAATGAACAAACTATACACTCACTCGACTGGGGTAACGAGCTTTATTTTTATCACATTTAGTAATTAGTTTATTCACATGCTATCATACTACTTTGCTTCGTCGAAGAATAAGCGGTCATATGTTCGCCAGGTTTCAGGTGATCTGATTCACACTATCGACTGTTAATGGAGAAGAAGTATTTCAAACGCAAAATTGGAGAAGTAATTTGATCATTTTTTCTTAATAAGATTATTGTAATTTCAGAGATTTAGGGGGTATTCAATAATGTCAATATTTAAGAGATTTTTTATTTAGAGTTTGAATTGAAAGATCGTATGTACTGGCTGTTCAACCATAAAACTTCACCATAGGCTAAATCGGTAGGTGACATTTAGCAAAATGAAACAGTTGAACCACATTTAAATTATGACTTCAGTATAAAATATTCTACCACCAAATTTTTTATATGATTTTAAAATCGTCGGTTCAAATAATTATTTTACACTGGTGGAAACAAAAATTACAAGACACATTTTGAACTATTTATTGCAAAAAAAAAAAAACATAAGTTAGTTAGCGATAATGTATAATTCAACCCAAAAGACACTTTGCAACTTCTATCTTTTTAAAATAAATGTATGCTACTCATACCCTCGCTCATTCATCAACTTAATGAGTACTTTTTGCATGATGAATCAGCGAGGAAATGGGAACAACGGCTTAAGCCATTAGGTGTAGGCGCTTTCCGCAGGTGGAAGATTGACAAGGCATGAAAAGCTATTCATTGGAAGATAAGGAAAACTAATGGGATGTTAAGTCCATTCCGAACGACTTCTACTTCTTTATGGATGGCGGGTTGGCTTCGCACTTACGTTTCATCAAAAGAGTCTCGCTCAGGAGTGCTGCTGTAAGCAGTTATGATCTCAAGACCGGTCTTACTTCTGTGGTATTTGTCCTTTCCCCGGCTTTCAGTGAAGTTTCTAAATAAAAATTGAGTAACATATATTTCATGTAAGCTGATTTTAATAGGTTTTTTTATTTAATTATTTAATGAAAAAATATTTGTTGCATGAAAATTACAATATTGTTGCTAGACATGTCTGCAATATGAGAATAATTTGGGAAGTCCGTACACAACACATTGCCCAAGTAACTATTAGTGACAACTTAGCATTATGTTTTATATGCTTCAAATTAAGCAACTTCGGATTCATTACCAATAGTGTGGTAAAAAAATGTTCTCTGTCGGAAAAAACTTAAAGGGCATACTGAATTCTATGTGAGATATTTTTTTAAGGTTGATTATTTATGTATTATGAGAAGCAACTCTAATATTCAACTATATGATCTAATTAAGTAATGAATGCAGTTAGTTATATTTATTTCGTTTTTCATTAGGTAATTATATGTAATGCTTATATCATTTTTTTTTTCTCTTTTCATAAATGTATAAACACATTATGTATAGTTGGATCACTTTCAAAAATGTTATGTGCATAACTAAGTTACAAAACACTCATTTCATGCATTTCAAATCATCTATTATAAAAAAAATTTATCTATTATATCCATTATTATATACCATATTTCTTGACAAAATTCTCCCGACTAACTGGTCGGGCTCTGTGCTAGTATGGTATAAACTAAATCATGGGCACAAACCAAATGAATCAAATGCTCACCTAAACTACACAATAGACATTAGACAGTAAAGGATTCTAATTTCCCTACTACCATTCTACATCCGAGGAATCCTCACATTCAAAGACTTAATGGTATTAGCCAGCACCTGAAATTGCCCAATCTTAAATCACAGGTCAGCAAAAACATGGTAAGTTTTGGAATCTACAGCTATAAGCCTTAGAGCAGCGACGAGCGCTGCAAAGGACATGAACCCGAAGAAGATCACATTGAGCCAGTGCCAGAGCTTTTGGAAGGAGCTCAATTTGCTCCTCTTCGCTACTAGGTACATGTGGTTTGCCAGAATGAATGTTAGGGGGAAGGTGCTGATTGCCCCTGTGAGGCTCATGAAATCTCCCAAGAATGGCAGAAGTGCTGAAACCAATGTGTTGAGGGTGAGGTATCCGCCTCTCACTCCTAGCCTGAATGACAAGTTTCGAATGGCGAATCGACTCCCCTTGATCCCGTACTTGGTGTCCAAGTACTCGTACATTGGACTCGCGAATATATGTAGAGCGATGACCGACTGAAAGAATGCAGCAATGTTGGCCATTGCCTTCACCCAAACTGGACCATTGACGCTGCTGAGCAAATAGGTTGATGTGGATGACCCGTATGCCCAGTAGCCGATGAAAGTGACAGCGTACATTGGTAAAACTCCTGCTGTGAACTGGAAGTAGAGTGCTTTCATCATGTTGTTCACTACTGGCTGCTTTATTGTTGCCTGTTTGTTAAATTGAGTTCAAACAAACTTCTGTAAGGGAATTCTTTTTCAAGTTTCACACAAAGCTGCAGAGTTCGTAAATCCCCCCTCAAGTACCTGTATCTCTGGAAGCATTCCTGTATTGAATGCAAAGACGAGATTGGCAGATGCTCCAATCGTAGTGAAGATCTTGCTCGTTGTAGTCCCCGGGATGCTGTAGTCCCTGGCTGGTGTATTGACCCCTGAAATCAGCATCGAAAGTTGCAGAATACTCAGAACTAGAGGGAGCATTATTGACCTTAAACAAGTGCATTCACTAAACAGCAAAAGGGATTCAAAGAACATGAAAAAGGTACCATCTTTAATGGAGAGCACAAAGGCAACAACGATGTATATCAGGCTAAGCACTGTTGAGACTCCCAGCCAAACTCTCAGTGCTGATAAATGAGGAGTTGAAATCGCAAACAAGCCACACACAACCCCTGCAATGGCTATGAAGTAGGGAAGCTTCATTGGACCGTCTTCATCGAAGAGCACATAGGCAGCCTGTAGTTAGAAACATTCAGTCAGAAAAACAGAAAAATCCTCAATCAATGAAGACTCTACACCAAACAGTAAAGAAAAAGCTGCAAGCAAGAGAGACAACTCGATCGGCTCACCTTGAGAGCCTGACCAGCTAAGATGATATAACCAGTGTTGATCATGAAAAGATTCACATACTGCAAACCCCATGTCACAGAATAAGCTCTCTTACCTGCAGCAGACATAGAGGACAAAAGAAACCATTTAAGTTAATTGAACTAATGCTGCAACAGTGGCTACAAGGTATCAGATTTCATATCACATACCATATATGAATCCAGCCAAATCTCTGTATCTGATATGTCTTTTGCCTCCAAACTCATGTAGCTTGGCCACCAGAGAGTTTGCATACAATGAGATGGCAGTGGCCAGAATCAAACCCACCACTCCAGGAACCCACCCCAAAGGAACCATTATGGTCCCTGAATAGCCTAATACATAGGCACTGTTGATCCCAGTTGTAAGAACAAATCCCACTTGGAACCATGAGTCTGCCCAAAATGGCAAAATCAAATTCAAGTTATCAGCATCACTGTAAGTCTAAAACCCCAAATTAGAGATAAAAGACTCAATCTTTTGTCACTCCGATTTCCAGAAATTCCTTTCCTTAACACAGAACAAGCTTCCAAAGAGATTCAAATGAGAAATGATCAAGAAAAGCTTCACTTTCCACCTCAAAACTCAAAAGTAACAAATGGCGTGACAGAGTAGTGTTCCATATCAAACTTGAATCCCACCTTCAAACAAAAACCCCTTTTTATCTTCCTTTTTCCAACCCAAAAGCAATAATTTGTTTTCGGAAAAAAGGGTCTGAAAAAGTACACGAACAAGAGCAAGCTGAAATACCATCCTATGAACACTCGACAACCGACACACTGGTGATCCTGTCAGCAGCCACAAGACGCCAAAAATAGCCGAACAAAAAGGGGATCAATAAAAATTGAACTAGGAAAAGGAATTCACACCGCTGCTAATCTGATGAGCGGTCTCCGGGATCGCAACAGCTAAGTTTTCCTCGTCGTGAACTTTCCTCGCCGGCCCGGAAAATTCCCCTCCGCCGGCGTCGCCGTTTCCGTCCATGATCAGAAATGTGGCTCGTAGTTGGGGCAATAGAGAAAAGGCCTCCTCGGCGTCTCCCACTGGTAAACTGTGAGAGAAAGCCAGCTTGAGTATAATTCAGAGCTTATCACTTCAGTTTATATAGTCGGCGACTTCTTCGGCCAGGCGGGCGGAATCAATGCGAGTGTTCCCACTTCCCTCTCTCTCTCTCTTGACATCTATCTCTATCGAATTTTTGGTTGGTTTTTTATTAAAAATTACTGCTTTTTTTCCTGTTGTGGAAGAAAAGTCTGGAGGTCGAAAAAGCAGAGATCTTTTTGTTCGCATTTAGTGGGGCTGAGAGACGAGTAGAGAAGAAGAAGAAGAAGAAGAAGAAGAATGCGAGAAAGAAAGAGAACCGCTCGTTTTATTCATTCCTTCTTCTCGCGAGAGTCAATTTGTTCTGTTTTAGCTGAGCTGTTGCTTCTGGCTTTCTGCAATAGCATTGATCAATCATTAAATTATTATTGGCAACGATTTTCTTCCCAATCGTTGGACATGGGTCTCCTAATATCGTCCATCTGCCTAAAGTTTTCGTGATCATGATATATAAAAGACTTGATAACAAAAGAGACTCTTGTTTGACCCGCCTTTCCATCTTTTTGAAAGGGAATATCTGTCTAGATTTTCAACAATTTCGTCTACATTTGGTTGGAGTTTTAGAAATGCATTTTTTTCTATTTTAAAAGTTTTTAAGGGTGATATTTCAACAAGCTGGACTTTTAAATAGAATGAATTTTATAACATAAGAAAAAAATTGATTTAGAGTCTATGAATTATTTTGGAAATTTAAGATTATCTTTATTACCTTTTTAAAAATTCCAAATTATTAATTTATATTATTTTAAAAATAATATAATTTTAAATATTGTTTATTATAAAAGAAATTGAATTAAATACATTTTGATGATTTTTTTTTAAATATGTTTAAAAAAATTATGTTATTAATTTTTTCACAGAAGATAATATTTTATAGTTTTTCTAAAACATAATAAATGGATATGTTTAATAAAATGCACTCTAGAGAGAAATATTATACGTAGAACCCTAATTCAATATTAACTCTCTTTCCTGGAGTGTTTCCATTTTGGGCCATTACTGCGAAATCAATCCCGGACCAGAGAGAGGAGAAGGGGAATTGTCGGGCCTGATATGGCCTGAATATGATCACATTGGACTCTTCTTTTATTGGGCCCAATTATTAGAGCTACCACTCAAATTGAAGTTGAGCAACGAGCAGGAATAGGGATGGCAATGGGTCGGGTCGGGTCGGGAGCGGATAGTGCATATCCGTTACCCTACCCAAAGTAGTTCGGGTTTTACCCATACTCATACTCACATAAGAAACGGGTAGAAAATTCAAACCATGCCCATACCCATTCGGGTTTCGGATATCCACGGTTATCCATGGATAGTAATTTCTCTTTATAACTCCAACCAATATGTTAACATTCACACATATATTCACAATACACAAAGGAAACATACTATGATAAATCAGTAGAATGAAGAAAATTAATTAAAACAATAAAATTTCATGAAAATATTATATTTGTATGCTAAATATAGAATATGTTAAAGAAAAATAATGATTATTTGTAGACAAAATACATATGCATATGTATAATCGGGCGGGTTCGGGTTAGATAATAAGAAAACCATGCCCACCCATTACCCGCAACATTCGGGTTCGGGTTTTACCCGTACCCACTAAAAGTTCTTCGGGTTCGGATTTTACCCTACCCGATTAGGTCGGATTCGGGTGGATATCCACGGTTACGGATATTTTTGCCATCCGACCCGACCCATTGCCATCCCTATTCCTGCTCGTTGCTCAACGGTGGACAACCCACTCGCAACAAAAATTCAGTAAATATTTTTTTGAATTTTACAGGTGAATATCCCATCCAATCGGTATGTATGGTTACCCATATGTTCGTAAACATAACCCCAAATAATTTTTTTTCTAGTTATTGACATTCTTATATTATCTAAACTTCTATAAAATATATGAAGCAGATTCATGGGTTGTTTTTGCAGGGATTCAAAATTGGAGGCTTCTGAGAGCTTCACGGCGGGGCAGTTTTGTCATTTCATTGTCTTGGGCGCTTAATGAAGTGCATCGTTTTGGGCTGGCATTAATTGGTGGGTTGAACTTACATTTTTGGGCTTTCTGGCTGATTAATGAAGTGAAATGGGCTAATAATATTGGTCGTTAAATTCTAATTGCTGGACTTGGCCCATAATTGCGTTCCCTACGTTTAATTGGAAAAAGTTACTTCTGTATCAGGTTTTTGCTTTTACAGTATCCGTCGTCTGGTGGTTGTCGTCCCTGGGTTTGTTCTCTAGAATTAGCAAAGGTAAGAACAAAATAAGGATTTTAGAATATATGAACTTAGTGTCCGGCCTTTTGGAATTTATGAGGTCAGTGTTGAGGTTAATATCGCATCAGGTTTTTGTTTTTCCAGAGGTCAGTGTTGAGGTTAATATCGCATCAGGTTTTTTGTTTTTCCAGTGTTTATCGTTGTCGTCGTCTGGTTTGTCCATCTATGGTTCGTATTGAAGATACTCCTGGTTGTTCTTCAGCAATAAATCGACTTCAGCAAGATGCTCGACTTCAGCAGGATGCTCTTGATCCTTCCTTGACAATACAACGACATCAGCAGAACAGGGGTCAATGTTAGTATTGAGATGATGACATTTATGAATTTGATTTTTTGGATGCTGTTTGGAGGGGAGGAAGTTATGTATTGGTAGTCACAATCATCTGATTTGTAGGGTTGATGAGGGCTATTTGCAGGCCGCCTAAACATCCTCCACAAAAACAAATTGTGGCTGAACGAGCCCGTCTTAATCAACGTAATTATCTGTTATTCCTATTTTGATGATGACGTAAAAATATTGTTGTGGTGTATTTTATTTGTTATCGTACACAACGTTTTCCTTCGCAGGGATTGATAGGTTAAATGTTCAACTTCGCCGAATGGATTTACTATTGGCTCAATTCCATCGCAAGCAAAGTCGTATACTTATGAATAGGCGTTTGGGACGTGCAGTTCAACGTCGTTTGCCTCTAAATATTGGTAGTAATCTGTAGTTATAAAAGTTGTCGTTGTCATTATTTGATTATGATTTGATGATGATGAATTACGTAGTTCCTCTTTTCTCACAGATTATACTTCGTGTTTGTTACGTTTGCGGTCAAAACGAGCACGTGTACTACGTTTTATTTGTTTATTGAGAAGACGGTTGGTTAATGCTATACCTAGGGGATTCACACGTAATCATGGTTGGTTTGCATTATGTAACATATTTCCCTCTTGAATTTTTATTTTCTATTTATTTTTCAATAGTCTTATGTGAGATTTTGTGTGTAGGTCTTCCTTCCGTTGAAGTTTTCAGTCTTGGTGAACCTTCGTGCCTTTGTCAATACTGTAATGCAGTGATGTGGGTCGAAGAAAGCACATTACATTCTAGGAGTCATGCTAATCCGGTGTTTCCATTATGTTGCAAACGAGGTAGGGTGAAATTGCCTCCTAGGCGAGATCCACCTGGATATTTGAAAGATCTCTTGGAATCTTCAACTCCTATGAGTCGACACTTTAGGGAGGCTATCCGTATATACAATGCCATATTTAGCTTCATTTCCCTTGGCGGTAAAGTGGATCGTGGTATAAATGATGGTGGTGGTGTATATGTCTATTCTATAAGTGGTCAGATATATCACAGTATAGGCAGCTTGCTTCCATTTGAAGGTCAACCACCTAGATTTGCATAATTATATATTCATGAATCTACCTCCGAGCTTCAGAATCGACTCCAATTATTTCCAAGTGAAGATCATTCAAATACGTTGCGATCTGAGATTGTTAGAGATTTGCAAGAAATGTTTGACATGAACAATGTTTTGGTGCAAACCTTTCGCATGGCTCTAGAAAAATTATCTGAAGCTACCGTTGAAGAGTTAAAGATCAAATTATTTGCTAAGCGTGCACAGGATGGTAGAGAATATGACTTACCAACGGGAAATGATGTTGCAGCTTTGATAGTGGATGAAACTGGTCAGGATACATTTGAGCCAGACATTATTGTTCAATATAAGAACTCTGAATTAGAGAGAATTAATTATGGACATCCATCATTAATGGCATTACAATATCCTCTTCTCTTTCCTTATGGTGAAGATGGTTGGCATCCTGATATACCCTGTGTTGATGAGGATGATGAAGAAGAAGATCTCTGGAATAACAATACTTTGTCCCAGTGTGATTATTATGCATATCGTCTTCAGACCAGGTTTGATCAATCAAATGCAATGTTATTAACTGGGAAGTTATTTCAACAGTATGTGGTGAATGCTTATGCATTGGTTGAAGCTGAACGTCTTGATTGGATTCGAAATAACCAATCTAAATTGCGTGCTCATTATGTGAGTGGTTTGGTGGATGCATTTTTACGTGGTGACTCTGATCTAGATTCGACTGGCAAGCATGTTATTCTTGCAGCTTCACATACAGGCAGTCCACGATACAAGTATGAGAATTTTCAGGATGCTATGGCTATTTGTAGGTGGTTGGGATACCCGGATTTGTTTATTACATTTACCTGTAATGCAAATTGGCCTGAAATCCAATTTATGGTGGATTTGGTTAACTCGGATGGTCGGAAAGATGTCAATCGATCTGATATCTTTGCTAGAGTATTCAAGCTTAAATTGCATCAGTTGATGTCTGAGATTAGAGATAAGAAAATATTTGGGGCTACAACTGGATGTAAGTTGTTTTATATATATTTCTTTATAGATTTATTTTTTTTACTATTATATTCCTCAATCATCCTATGTTTCTGCCTATGTAGATAATGATATTGCAAAAGTCTCTTTTTTAATTTGGTTCTTTAGTAATCATATGTATATCTATAATATATACATACACGTGTTGCCATACTATTTTTGGTTTCGTTTTTTAGCAAAAGACATATCTTGCTCAATCATATATAAAACCAATTGCAATTGCAAGAACAAATCTTATAGATGGATACACGTGTTGCCTGTTTAGTTTACAAGTGACAGATTATATTTATCAATCATTTATCAATCATTTATTAGTGCAAATGAAGTTGAGTGATCATGTATTTGTTATGAATTTTAGTTCTTTATATATTATATTTTTTGTTTACAGATGTCATGGCTATTGAGTTTCAGAAGAGGGGTCTTCATCA